AATTCTGATAATCCGAAGCATAAAAAGTCAATATTGAAGAACTCGTCTAACAGTCAGAGCAGAGAAGAAATGGAGAGATTATTACCCGAAACGCCCAAACATGCCATCAATAGAATTTCAACAACACCTCAAACATTATGTCTAAACCCAACAACGAGTCTGTCTTTACCTTCGCGTCCGACCACTGGTTTTCTAACGCCTCAGACTTCAAGCCCATCAGCGCTCAGCCTATCAGCCAATGAAAGCAGTAATAAAACAGTTCGGCCGTCACTCAAGCAAATCGGGTCGAGTAAAGCCGGCAAACAAATAACTCCTCCCCCGGTGTCCGTCTTGACGCCCACACCTCCGGCAGCCCTTCCTCTGCCACCCATTGTTCCTCCGATACCAATATTTCAGACCTCATCGACGACACGACTGATCGGAGCCGTGGCTCCCATTCAGCTCTCGTCCAAGAGTTTGCTGAAGAAGACGGACACACCTCTGGTCAGGTGTTCGAACCCCATCTGTTACTACAACCGCGTCTGTCGTGCGACTCCTCTGTGCGCCGGTTGTGGCCATCGGATCGAGACTTTCAAAGACTCCAACGATTCAAAGCCACACTCAGTTCCTCTGACACCGACGACACCCGACTCTAAACACGACCAGAATATGAGTCGCCAGCCATCCAACGAGTCGGCCCCTCCCGCCTACTCATAATGCCTGCGACACTATAGTCGACACATCTCTTCAATTCAACACAACAACAAAACCCAATAATTTCTCATTTTGTTTGACAAACACTTGTAATGAGTGGAAAACCTTTTTGCCTGTCATTGCATTCATAGAATCATATTATATAACATACTATATATGATACAAACCTCTAAACCATGCGATTCTCTCTTAACATAATTTAAAATGTCATTTATTTTATGTTAATTTTCATTGATTCAAACTTTTTAAAAGCATATTTAAAAGGGATTTACATTAAGGTTCGTGTAATACTTGTATAGTTTATATTTCAAACAAATCCCTTTTAAATAACCGTTTCATTACTTTTACTCAATTGTTATCAAATCATTAATTTTATACCAAAAATATCTATTGATTTGTTGAACAAATTAAAACTCAATACTTATTGCAAATTATAGATAATTATAGATATATTCAAATTGAATCTCATTTAAGAGTGATTTTCCTTAATATATATAACTTATACTTACATTAAACTAAAAGTTAAACAATTTTGAACAAATATCTAGATTTAGTCTAAAAAACTTGTTTTCAATACTTAAATGTGAATTGAATTAAATATTGGAAATAAGTTTCAATTCATTGCAATTCCAGTCCATTTCTAATCTAATTTTTAAAACATTTAATACATTTAAAATTTTATTTATTTATAAAATGAATTTTCGTCCATTAATTGTGTAATTAAATTGATTTTAATTAATAATTATTTATTACAAATAACTTATAATAAGTTATTGATTATGTGCTGACAGTGTTATTGCATTATTCAATGGAATCGATGCCAATAATACCACATATTGTTTGCCATTTGTTAATCAATTCAATTGTTTGCTCAAAGTTTTATATATTTTAAAATTTAAAACAAAAAAATGATATAAATATAAATAATTACTATTTATTCATTGAAGTGAGCCCTCAATGAAGTGAGAACTCTGCCCTCTGCTATATATAACTCCTAAAAATCATTTGTACAGTTAATAAAGAGTTCTCACACCAGTGACTTCTCACTCCATTGATTTGTTAGTTATATAATAATAATAATTACACCTTAAATAGTGTTTAACATCTGATTATCATTTAAACAATATTCTGTGAAATAATTATAAAATTCCGATTTGTTTGTTAAGATTTAATTTAATTAATAGCATATAATAATAGGTGTTTCAGTAGACGATATTCTTAGACCGATTCTCTCTATCTGTTCACACACTTCCAGACTAATGATTGATTCATATAATGGACGCTCTCTTGTATCCAATTATATAAGGCTTTCATTAAATACTAATAAAATGTTACGAAAATCGTATTTCTTTATGATATACTTGAGTACAAACTTAAGGATTACTTGTAGTGTCTCAATGACTATATGACTGATATATTATCATTAGATCTCAAACAATAACATTCAATGAGTGTTAAAGCAAACCGATGTCCGCTTTAACACTGTGTTTAATAATAAGGGACAGCACTTCATGAACCGATTGCTAAGTTGTGCCAAAATTCACTGCTATTAGACAAGTATGTGACACGACATGAGAATAGGGAACACATTATGTGCACCGGAATGTCCCCTAATTAATGGCCAAACATCACGACTAGACCTTCGATTCGTGCGAATGTATGGCTTCTTTAGTGTCATATTATAATCGGATTTATAAATCATATCATTTAAAACTTTCTTTTTGTAGTGTATTTACATTTTTTGATAATTGAATTATAATTATAATAAAAGGTAAGGTATTTAAATATATTAAACAAATTATATAAAAACTCCTAAAATGTACAAAATATTGTTTCCATTTCTTATATATTGTTTCTCATTGTCTCTAATGTTTATTATTTAGTCCTTAAATTGTTTGTTCGAACAATACGTTAATCACATTTCGATTAAATTAAAACATAAATCAAACCATTTATAGGAATTGTCGACCAAAATATCATCGGTTAAAACAAATGGATATTTTTGGTTAACATTGTATTTAAATTATTCTCAAAACTATATTCAAGTGGTTATTAGAAACCAATTATCTTTTTTGCCTTTTTATACCCAAATTAATTAGTAATTTATCACAAATTCTTGAATTTTTGTTCTCTTAATGTCTTCAGACAATGAGAAAGAGTTATAAGAAAACAAAAGCAATGAAAATATAATATGAAGCAAATGTCAGACGTGGTCGTCGTGATACCACCACCGGGTCTTCTACTCAATCACATTAGGTATAGGTGTGGAGGTTTGGTGGAGGGGTGCCATCAACACAGTAAACACAGTGTTAGACATTATACCAGACAAACAACCAATAAAATCACTCATACCTTTGGATTCTTGGAACATGTCTTCACATACAATGAGTTGTCGGGAGGCCTAAGAGGAGGGAATCACTCATTCATTTCAATTCATACAAATCACTCCATTTCTCATTCAAATACCTCTTCTTCTCCTTACAACTCGAAAGCATTGATACAATACTAAGACATACGGACTGAACGGACAGAGCGGGAGACCAGTCTTCAGTTAGTATCGACAGACATATGTGTCCATTGCTGTAGACGTGAGGGTGGACTGGAATGTTGGCGCCCATGAATGTCACTTCCGGCGAATCAAACGGATATTTCGGACTCAAATCAGTAATAAAATAAAATTACATATAAATGTGACTGAAATGTATGGCGAGTGAAGTGAAGAGCAAATTACCTGAATTTGAATAGCAGTTGGAAGTGCTCGCCTTCGTATAGTGTGCCCACCGGTCCGTCGATGTCGACGATCCATCTGTTTTGGCAGATAATGTCTTATTTAAAGCAATCAATCGTTTCAATTGAATAGGTATTGAATACTGGGTTAGATTTGGTCCGATATTAGACTCATTCACTGTCACTCCTATAGATCAGAGAAAGACATTTAATGGTAAGAATCAAATAAGACAATCAAATGACTAACCAATCGGCGGTTCCTTTTGAATGGCCAGCAGTTCCTTCTGAAGTCGTTTCTGTGACAACGAAATCAAATGGCAATCAAAATGTGTAAACAATGAAAGGACGGATCAATTGGACGATCAATACCTGCATCGATGCCATCATGTGATGCAAAGAGTGGTCAACACTTGCAACATATGATGGGATATACAATGGATTGAAAGCAAATGAACGGCGATTTGGGTTCAAATGTATAGCAATTAGTATTGAATAATAAATTAAATTAAATTTCAATTAACTATAAATGCATTCAATTCATGACAACAACAATAATGTAATCGCTTTAACACTCATTGAGTCACTCAATACAGTACTCATCCAAACATCACATCATATATATTACCATCATTACACTCAATATATCACATCATTTACAATACACTAACACTTGATTGCAAACACAATCAGTCGTTGCAATCATCCAATCCTTCGCTCAAACCATCGCTTCGTTTATATTTAATTATATTTTGCATTAATTATAATTGCAATTAAATTCAATGCAATCAATACAGCGGTTAAGTTTTGGGTAAACTTTATGCGTAACGTTATATATGAATGGCATTTAAATCATATCATATTTGGTGAGCAATAAGCAGTGGTTTTATAAAACTATTTATAATTTACATTAATTTCTTTGTTTTGATTGTATTTTACAATAAATTTGTAATTTTTAACAAAATATATATTAATTGCGAAAATGTTTCCCATATTTCGAAAGCAATTCATTAAAACATTAATTATAAATAATTTATTGAAAAAGAGCTCAAAATGTATTAAATTGAATGAATTGTCAACAAATCAACTGTTGATCCGTTATATACAGACATCGGAACTGCTCTTCGGTTTGTCTTAACGCCCGTCTTATAACTCAATATGTATTCTAACGGTATGTTTGATTGAAGGGACGAAAGGTATACCCATTTTGATGCCATCGCTGTCGCCGACTATGACTTCGGGAACAATCGTAAAGTGGGTGAAGAAAGAGGGCGATCCCATCGGCGCCGGAGACCTCATCGCTGAGGTTCAGACCGATAAGGCTGTGGTCGGCCTCGAACTCGAAGAGGAGGGCGTTTTGGCCAAAATACTGGTTCCCAACGACACGCAAGACGTCAAAGTCGGTACTCTTATCGCTCTTATGGTCGAAGAAGGCGTCGACTGGAAAGACGTGGAAATACCGGCCGACGCCTCCTCTTCGACGCCAACGCAATCCACTTCTGAACAAAAGGTATCGACAAGTGGTGAAAAAAGTGACGGAACCAGTCATACGAGTGGACACCTTATGGGTCCCAGTGTTAGGAATCTATTGACTCAATACTCTATTAATTTGAATGCAATCCAGTCTTCGGGTCCGCACAACACTATTCTTAAGGAAGATGTTCTCAAATACATTAAAGACAATGCGTTGAAACCACAAGACATGACTACTTCAGCCACTGTTTCGTCACCAAAAGCCTCGGCGCCAAAGACAGTGTCCAGAACTGCCAATCAGTTCATTGACATTGAATTATCAAATATGAGGAAAACAATAGCAAAACGTTTGACAGAATCGAAGACAACTATTCCTCACTCTTATATGACAATTGATTTCTCGATGAATGGCGTAAATGATGTCCGAAAACAACTAAAACTGTCTGGTATTAAGGTTTCGGTCAATGACTTTATAATCAAAGCGACGGCCATTGCATTGAAGAAAGTGCCACAAATCAACTGTGCGTGGAATGAGAGCACTTCCACAATACAGATGTCACCAACAGTTGATATATCGGTAGCGGTGGCCACACCTAACGGACTAATCACTCCAATCGTTAGAAATGCCAATCAATTAGGTTTGGAGACAATCAGCAAAACAGTGAAGGAATTGGCGGAAAAGGCCAAAGAAGGCAAACTACAGCCCAACCAATTCATGGGCGGATCGTTCAGTATTTCCAATTTAGGAATGTTTGGAATCTCAGAGTTCTCTGCTGTCATAAATCCGCCGCAATCGGCGATTCTGGCCATTGGGTCGTCGAGACAAGTGTTGGATGACAGCGATTGCGTCCAAAACTTGGTTAGAGTCACGCTTTCCTATGACTGTCGGGCCATCGAAGAGGAAATGGCCGCCAAATTCTTAGAAGTACTCAAAATTGTTATCGAAGATGCAATTGCTCTTCAGAATAGCGACGGAACCGATAATAGAAGACTAAACGCTTTGATTTCATAGTCATTGTTACGAATTTTAGTTATTTAACATTTATTAAAATTAATTTAATAATTATTTTGTTTTTAGATATTTAGCGTTTTGTTGTTAAAATATTTATAGCAATAGTTTGTTATATACTGTGTTTGATTGAAAATAAACTCTCAAATAAAACTTAAATCTCTTAATCTTATCTGAAAAGTAAATTATGAGTTCAAAGTTCGTCCACTGATAAGTCGTCTATCAGTGGTTTATGGCTATATTTACCACAAAAGCACTCATTTTCTTGATTTTTAAGTATATATTATTAATAAAATGGTTTTGCATTAAATGTATTGAACAATAATATGAAAGTGAGTGATGTTATGTGATTTTGGCATTGAATTAAAAATTAACAGTTTGAAGTGATTGAAATCAAATTAAGTGATTGAAGGCTTTTTTAATTTGTGGAGTTGTGTCGAAGAACTGCTACACATTTAATTGATTTATGAACGAAACGCAAAACACTTAGTGATAAAAAATGGTCACCAATTTTGCCGTCAATAGTAGTGACGAAGTGAACAAATCGAGTGACAAATCATATAAGAAGAAAATTCGGAATATCTTTAAATTTGGATCCGATTCCAAAGGAAGCGAACAAAAGAGTAAAACAAAGTCTAAATCATTAAAAACCAAATTAAAGTCGTTGTGGAAAAGGCATAGAAGTGAGTCCAAAGACGAGTCCAAATGGCTTTTACAGCAAAGTTCTTCGCATTTGTGTTATGAAAGTAATTACGATTTTGACACTAAAGATGAAAAGAAGAGTAATTGCAAAACCAAACAGAAGACTAAAGACAAGTCCAATAAAAACAAAAGTTTTGGCAAAAAAATTGGCAAATATTCGTTACAGACGTGCAAATTCATAGGTATGGGTACTGCACCCGGTTATTCATACAACTCTAACTGTTATTACGACTACGAGACCAAAACCTACGAATATTACCCAAGATTTGCCAATTGTGAGGGCTATTCTCCATCCATGTTCTTCTGAACTACATTTTCACTTTCCTATCATTTCTATAGTTATTTTAAATATAAAATTATTATTGCTTTAATTAGTAATTAATTATAACCTCTGTTCATCAATTATTTTATACTATCTATAGATTTTATGGTAAGAATCTTAATCATGATTTATAATCAAATTCCTGAGAATATAGCAGTTTTAATGCATAAAAGAGGGAACAGACGCTCCCATCCATCCCTTTCATATTGTAAATCAGTTTCTATTAAAACACATACTGTAACGATCTTTTTAGTTAATTTACATTTTCTTATAATTTCATATTTTTAAAATTTGTTTACAACACTCCCTAAACAGCCGCACAAATTAAGTGTGAAATACACAGGTATTCACTAAATAAAAACAAAAATCATGTTCTCTAAAAAAATATTCAATATATTATTGAAACACTTTATTTGACCCTAATATTAATATTCCTTCTTTTAATTTGCAAAAAGTTGTGACAAATAACTAAAATATTTCATTTGAAAATTGGTTTTGCATTACATTGAGTTAATTGACTCGATATAATAAATAACACCAAATAAGTGCATTGATTTGAAAAGTTTTTATATTTCAATTGTAATTTCAAAATACATAACTGTTTTATAAAAAAGCTTTCAATAGTAACTCAAAGAATTAATGAATGAGTGATTCGCCAAAAATGTTTAAAAAATATCGAGAATATTCTGATTATTTCATGGCATGGATAGCAATGTATTTCAATCATTATGTATTCAAAACACAAATTTAGACATTTTTGCGTGTAATTGAAGGAAAAAATAAAAACAACGATTTCTGCATTAATTTATTGCAATATTTTTTATAATCGCATTGAAAAAACAAGTTTTGAAAAATTGTTGTACACTTTATGCGCCAACACTTAATTCAATAGCAGTTTTTTGTGCACAATTAAGTATGCGATAGACTTACGACTATCGTTAACATTGCAGTCAATATTTTGTATATTTTTCAAATTTAAACATTATCTCGAAATACTTTCTTTAAACACACATTTTAGTGAAATATGTGTTAAATTATTCAAAATTATCGATTTGTAGTCAATAAAAACAGAAACATTTGGTGAGAATATTTCACATATTGTTATATAACATACGTATAAACGAGAAAAATGTGAAAAAGTGTTGGTTTTAACCATAATTAAAGTGATGGTAAAGATGAGTGAAGTCGGGATAAGGAGTTTGCGATGAGTTGTCGATTGGATGGTTGAGTCATAAGCGCTGGCATTGGCTGTTGAGAAGAGAGCACACATTGAATGCAATGTTTGCTGTTTTGGAATAAAAGCCTTCAGAAAAAGTGAGACTCGAGTGAAGAGCAAATCAGAACTGATTTCGCGATTTAATACACAATTCAATGAATGAATGAATGAATGAATACATGAAAAAAGTTTTTCATATAAAAAGTGTGTGTTTTGTATGAATTGATGTCATAAACAGTTTGTCCCAAACTTAACAACCATTTCGTCCACAAAATCAAAGTTATATTCAATTGATTTGAATATTTTGTTAACAGAATTTGAATTATATTTTGCAATCATTTTGTGAGATATAAGTGAAGAGATTGTGTGAAAGAGTGAATCCATTGATTAAGTTGTGAAAAGTTTGAATCCCTATAACCTGTAAGCGATGGCACCCGAGAGGAAAGTAACGGTCAGTCGTTCCGACCATAACCTCATTGACCAGGAATTCAGTTCAATTCGCGAGAGGTTTGAAAGCGAAATGAGGAAAATGGAGGACGAGATGAACCGATTCCGCGGACAACTCATCGACAAAGAGTCCTCAATCTTCGGACCCAACGTCTCGTCGAGTGTCACCGAAAAGAGATCCTCTCATTCGACCACTTCTTCGTCGGATGTGAGAGACTCGGGAGCGAAGGGAACGGGCGGTGAACTGACGTCTTGGTTGGATGGACTCAATTCACCGCTCATTCAGGACTCGGGCGACGGGAAAGTGTTGAAACTGCGGTTCGATGTCACCCAATACGCGCCCGAAGAGATCGTCGTCAAGACTGTCGACAATCGACTTCAGGTTTGAATGCTTTCATTATAACAACCATTTTTCCAATCAATTGATTGAATGGCTTTTCGCTCTGACATTGCGTTCAAAGAAGTTATTTATTATTATTTGTCTGAAATAATGAGTTGACTGAAGGGTGGAGTCAACCGTCCAGTCCTTGAATGCAATTATAAGTATTGTTTGAATCATTTCTTATATCTTCGAGTCGTTTGCAATGAATTCATATTTGAAAGAAAGTTATGTTAAAAAATTGAGACACAATTGAAAAGAGTATATGAATTGATTTGTTGGCGAAGAATGTGAAGAATGTGTTGAGAATCGCATAATAGAGTGACAGAAGTCTTATTTATAGTTAACACATACGGTATGCATGTGTTGTCTGATTGGCGTTTTGCCTGATTTTGCACACAATTATTGCTTATATAGATTTCAATTAATTAAATTCAGTTTTATTTTACATATTATAAGCATTTACTATACTTTACATGAAATTTGCTTACAATTTGTGTTATTCAAGTAATTATGATATTTACATGATTTGAGTGTATATTCTGTCATAATTTTGTGATAATATTTTCATATTTATAATCCCAGAGTTAAATGAGCTCTAAATTTATGAAGTTTTAAGTATAATATTTAAATGATAAACAGTTTTAATAGCAATAAAAGCTAATAAATATTACACAACACGTACAGTATATTTTATAAAATTGTTTATTTATATCTATTTCCCATAATTACTGCTAAATTTCAAACTTAATATCTGCTTAAAAGTGCAGAATATTATTTATTTATACACTTGTATTATAAACAAGACTTGAATTGTTTAATATAACAAACAATAAAAGTTTTTTCCCATTTACAACATTTGTGCTCATAATTCCTCATAACATACTATTTTTCTATCGATTGAACAATTTTTCCGAAAACAACATTTTTCACTATTATATTTCATATTATTTCATAACATCTGTCAAACATATCTTCATATAAATATTTGCCAATTAATAGAAAATAATTTATGATTTAATATATTATTATTAGTATCGAAATTCTATTGTTGATTGTTATCATATATGAAAAACGTGAACATTTTTTTAAAGACTTAATTCATGCCTTATTTGTTAAAATATATTCATTATGAAAATGTTTTAATGAAAAAACAAATTAAATCTAAAGCTATTTCCTTCGTTGACATCATTTATAATCTATAATTCATAACCAAATTTGGAAATTACTAATAAAATGGTAGAAAAAACATTGAATTAATTTTCTTTTATTTTGTTTTATTCAGAAATTAAATTTATTTTTAGGCGAATTATCCGAAGTTTAAATAAGTTTTATTGCATTTCAAAGAAAACTTGTTTTTTGAATGAATTGTTTGTATTTATACTAAACATAAGAATTATTTTAAAGAATTGATTGTCAGGAACTCAAGTGAGTGTCAAAAAAAGTGATTAATTCTTAATACTATAAATCCAATGACAAGATTAGCGAATGAATGAGTAAAACATAAACTCATATTAAGATATTTATTGCATTTCATGTCATTTGAAATTTTTATTTGAAAAGTGATGCGAATTATGATAGAAAACATATGGCACTCATTATATTCATTAAATACTTCACATAATAAGTTTGGTATTCATTTTCACATATTTAACTCTAAATCAAGTGATGATATGTTAAAATGAAAAACATTTCAAATTAATTGCTCAATTTTAAACTATTTGTAGGCTTTTTGGATCCAAACTCAGCGTATGTTTTAGATCTTTGAGATCTATAATAAATTATATCAAATAAAAATGTTATTTTCTAAAACACGATATACTTGAGAGTGAGTTGTTGTGCCCACACTTTCAGTGACAATACTAGTACTCTATGTCTAAACTCATAGAATAACAGATAATTTCCAAATTAGGGAATGTTTGCCTCCAATGAACCCATGCTTTGGATTTTTAAAAAAACATTATGAATGCTATGTATAGAGAATGTGGGAGTCGTATACTTTAACGTTACTAAACTACTGTTAGGCAATTGCTTCAATGATTGGAAATATTCATTATGTTTAGTTTATTACTATATTATATACTGTATTCTCATTTAAATATATGAATAACATATTTGTGTATTCACTGTATAATTAGGTTCACGCAAAACACGAGGAGAAGAGCGATAACAGAAGTGTTTACAGAGAATACAATCGAGAGTTTCTTTTGCCCAAAGGAACAAATCCAGAGCTGATCCGATCGTCGCTCTCCAAAGATGGTGTTCTTACAGTTGAAGCGCCCGTTCCGGTGGCTATCGATGGCGGACAGAGACGTATTCCCATTGACAAGAAGTGAAGACAATTGCACTGAACATAATATGTTATCATTAGATAAAACTAATAAACAGTGCCATTAATTACAAAATTAATTATCGATTATATCTTATAAAATTAAAAATTTATAAACAGATCTTATTTTTATTTCACTAATATTTTACTCATAATTACACTTTAAATGACTTAAACAGCATTTAACTCACCATTAATTGCATATTATTTGTTACATAAATAACTTATTTTCTAATTAGGAATTTAATTAAAGTTTGATAATTTTACGGTATTTTACTGATAATTTTTGTTTTATTTTTTTGTAGCAATTCTTGTAATTCTAATAATATAACTAAAACATAATAAATGTCTAATTATTTGATATAACTGTTAATCAATAAAAATCTAAAAATATGTTGCCGTAAATATTGAATTTCTATATTCATTATATAATTATTGAACGTATATTCCAAATGAAAATCAATTAATTTCTTGAGACAATGATTGCGTAAAAACCATTAAAAACAATAGTTTTTAATTTATTGCAGATTTTTGACAAAAATAAATTGTTTTGTTTAAAGTTTTTAGACATTTTGGTGTAAATGACTAAAGCAAACACAAAGTCTGTCAATAGTAAAAGACATTGTCAACAATCATCACAATATCGTCGGTCGGGGTTCAAGAAATTCAACAAATTATGCGTCGCTTTAGAATATGCTTCAAAACTATGCCGTAATCCTTAAACATTGCAAACATTTTGCGACATTTCTGCCATCAAAATAAGGATTACTTAAACTTCAAAACTTGGACTCAAAATTCTTAATTTATAAGTTATAAATAAAAATACCTACAAATAAGATTATAAGATATTTGGTAATTAATAATTATTTATTATTTATTAGAGTTTGTTGGAAGGTAAAGGTCGGAGTATACTGTAATTGAGTGCATAATAAAGTATTCAATTTAAAACAAATTATTTAGCTTTTATTCAATACATATTATAATAGCATTGAATTATTGAACAGAATTCAAGAATAAAAGTGAGTTGTGTTTTACAGACTACTCATGCTATCTATGTGTGAATAATGCGATAACTTATTTCAATTACACTTTTAATTAATTAAAACAACTGTCACTACAATTGGTATATAATTTCTTTGATAAAAATTGTAATTAATTTCATGTTTA